GCGCCGAGGCCTGCAGAGGATGGAGGTGATTCCGTGCCCGTGAAACGGCGACAGGGCCGTGCGCTGTGTCCCGCCCGCAGCGCTGCACTGCGAGCCTGGCGGGGAGCTCCCTCCATCTTCCAGGTAAAACAAACACGTTAGCTCCCAGCGCTTTCTTTTTCTCCTCCTTAGGGTCTTGAATATCATGTGCCGTCACTTCTAAATACTCAGCGAAAGTAATACTCGTCACTCACCACCTCTTCAGAAACTCCAAGCAGCACACGTGCTTGAAAACCCTTTGGTGGTAATAAACTGTACAGTTCTCTTCTAGCCATAACCACCAGATAGATTTTAAGTCATGAACAGCCTTGCCAAAAGCCTTTTGAAGTCAGTGAGACGCGGCAGGAGTGCGCGGCTGAGGAGCAGCTCTGCTGGCTCTGGGGAGCAGCGTGCGCGGAGCTTGGTGCTGGGGATAGAGACGAGCTGCGATGACACGGGCGCTGCCGTGGTGGATGATGCTGGCTGTGTGCTGGGAGAAGCGCTGCACTGCCAGAACCAAGTCCATTTACAGTAAGAATAGACTTCCCGAGGCTTTTGCCTTAATAATGGTTTTATTGTTGCTTGTAATATCATCTGTATTAAAGTCTTCCCTGCAGCATAAAATCAGTAAGGAGTGGGGAGGTGTGGAGATGTAAAGGTATCCCTTGGGTCACAGCACATACTGCGGTAATACTAAAGAGGGGGGAAGAAATGCTGTGCTTTAACAAGTTTCCTCCAGTATTTTCTTGCAGAAGGAGACAATTACTTCTCCAGCTTGAATTAAAGATGAAATCATCATTACTGTTAAAACCACCAAATGTCTCAATGTTTTTAAGGGAAAATTCATCAACTATAAGCATTGGTGGCGAAGAACATGAAGTGACAAGTGAGAGGGTTGTGAATATTAAGTGACAGATGTTTTGGAACAGTGTTGAAATACACTTAAGAAGCATCTGTACCAAAAAGGGCAAGTCACATCCTTTTCTGACCTCCCAGTGATAATTATGCTCTCTTCAGTGCCCTTTACACTAAACAAGGCATATGAGAATGCACTAAGGAAACAGACAGGAAAAGCCAAGGTTAAGAGGTGCCTGAAAACTATTTTTATGCCTTTGTATCTGCTGTGAAATTCCAATGTAATGTAGTTCTTTGGTTTCTACTAGAACAGGTGGAATAATTCCTGTGGTGGCACAGCGACTTCACAGAGAAAACATTGAGCAAGTGGTACAAGAGGCACTTCGTGTCAGTGGTGTTTCTGTACCTGAGCTTTCAGCTATTGCAACTACAGTGAAACCTGGACTGGCACTGAGCCTTGGGGTGGGGCTGCAGTACAGCCTGAGCTTGGTCAACAGGTACCAGAAGCCCTTCATACCCATCCATCACATGGAGGCTCATGCACTGACCATCAGGCTCACACATCATCTGGATTTTCCCTTCTTGGTTCTTTTACTCTCTGGAGGCCACTGCCTCTTGGCAGTAGCACAAGGAGTTTCAGATTTCCTTCTGCTTGGACAGTCCATAGATATTGCACCAGGTGACATGCTGGATAAGGTAATATTTCCATACAGAAGTAAACCTAGTTTTTTCCTCCTTTTTATTGCATTTATACCACATAATGGTAGTAGTATCATCAACCTGACAACAGTTTTACTTAACTTTTTTTTTCTGTTTTGAATTATCATAGATTCAAGACACAAGAGGCTGTTAAAAATCATAGAATCATTGAATATTAAGGGGTTGGAATGGACCTTAGAGATCATCCAGTGCCAACCCTCTGCCCTGGGAGGGACACCTCCCACCAGACCAGGCTGCTCAAGGCTTTATCCAGCCTGGCCTTGAACACTGCCAGGGTTGGGGCAGCCACAGCCTCACTGGGCAACCTGTGCCAGTGTCTCACCACCCTCACAGGAAAAAACTCCTTCCTAGCATCCAAATTTTCCTCTTTCAATGTACACGTAACAGTAACTGTAAAATATGTACATGAATTATGTTTCAGCAAATAACCAAAACTGGTGTTGGAAGTTACATTGCCACCAATAATACAAATTGTATGAATTTGAGAAGATGGATATTTTAAAGGATGCTGTCACGTTTAAAACACTACCTATTAAGCCATTTCTTACTAATCTTATTTTTTCCAGTTTGGAAAGCCTGCTTTGGCTTTCAGAATCTTAAGTTTTCTGAGTCACTGAGTACAGTCTGTAAAACCAGTTACTTAAGGTTTTGGTCTCGTGCACAATCAGAGTTTGAAAACAGTGTTTGTGTGTACTAATTAAAAAACTGGGGAAGTGAGTGGAATCAGAAAGGGAATTGTCAAAGGTTGAAACCAGATTTGTTCCTCTTTCTCTGGTAATAATGTATTGGAATCTCTGTGTGTTTCCTGTAGCTTAAAAATGGACTAACTAATGTTTCCTGCAAAATCTGGTGTTCCTCATGTTTGCCCCAATTGTACTAAAACTGCATTTCTAAATACTCCAGGAAAAAAACCAAACCCAGCTGCTGTTCCATCTTGTCCTTACTGTGCCCTGTTTGCAAGTTCACATTGGGTTGGATTTTGTGCAGTTTTACTCCATGGACAACAATACAGAGCTGCAGCTACACGAATTTATTCAGCTTGTATTCTGAGTCTGTTGTTTATTACCTCCTTAGGTAGCAAGAAGACTGTCTTTAAGAAAGCACCCAGAGTGCCAGAGCATGGCTGGGGGGAAGGCAATAGAGCACCTGGCTCAGAGTGGGGACCTGGAACGGCTCACGCTGCCACTGCCCATGAAACAGTATCGGAACTGCAACTTCTCCTTCTGTGGGATGCAGAACCTTGTCAATAATGCCATTGCACACAAAGAAAAGGAAGAAGGTATTGTTAAACAGTCAGATCTAAACCATGTTTTTGATGACCTGTACTCAGGAAAACCCCCTTGATTGTACATTTTTATAGGTATCCAAGAAGGTGAGATCCTGTCCTGTGCTCAGGATATTGCTGCTGCAACTCAGCATGCAGTGGCTGTTCATATCATCCAGAAGACATACCGAGCCATGCTCTTCTGCATTAAAAACAGCATATTACCATCAAAAAATGCAGCCTTGGTGGGTAGACTTTGTTTTCCTTTTTATATTTGGCTCTATAACATCATTTGAAGATGCAGATGCCTTGTACTTTCTATCTAGACAGGTGAGGAAGATCTCAGTATCTGTTATATTGTTAAAATACCAGGATTGAAGTAATAGTCATGTAAATATTTACAGTGAAATCTTTCATAGTTGGGTGTTAAGCTACAAAGAGATTTTCTTACCATCTGATTGACCTTCCATAACAATTCAGGACACATAATTTGACCATGTGCTCCCCAACACTTGACAGCTGTTCTAGTTAGAATAGGAATTGTTTGGGATGAAAGGGACCTTAAAGATCATCCAGTACCAACCCTCCTGCCACAGGCAGGGACACCTTCCACTAGGCTGACTTGCTTTTATTCAGGAATGTCTTTAAGCATAATAAACTCACTTAGCATACTCTTTTCTGATTTGTTTTAATCTTCAAATGCATCATTTATGGCTGTCTTCAGAACTACATGTGATAACCTTTGAACAGAATGTTACTCAACTGAGTGTGATCTGTCACTACTTTTGTTCCACAGGCAGGGACACCTTCCACTAGGCTGACTTGCTTTTATTCAGGAATGTCTTTAAGCATAATAAACTCACTTAGCATACTCTTTTCTGATTTGTTTTAATCTTCAAATGCATCATTTATGGCTGTCTTCAGAACTACATGTGATAACCTTTGAACAGAATGTTACTCAACTGAGTGTGATCTGTCACTACTTTTGTTCCTCTAGGTATCTCAACTGAGTGTGATCTGTCACTACTTCGGAGTCAATGTGTTTTTTCTCTTTGAAACTGCTGTCAGGTTGTCTCAGGAGGAGTTGCAAGTAACCAGTATATCCGAAAAGGTCTACAGAATTTGGCAGATGCCAATGATTTTGCCTTTCTGTGTCCTCCTCCAAGACTGTGCACTGACAACGGCATTATGATCGCATGGTAATGGTTGTTTCTCTTTGCATGTGTTTCTAGAGTGTTCTTTAAAAGTTGGCATCAGAATCAAGATCTTATTTCTGGTGACTGAGTCATGTGCAGGTATTCAGAGTTATGACATACTTTGACGTTATTGCTTTCTGGCTCAGGAATGGCATTGAGAGATTACGTGCAGGACTTGGTGTTCTACACAGCACTGATGGAATCCGCTATGAACCCAAGTAAGTGCTCTGTTCACAGGCTGTTTCTTCACTATTCACTGTGGTCATGGAAAGGAGCTCACACTGAAAAGTGGCAGAAGCTGATGAGGAGTGTCTTTGCAGCACATAGAAGTTTTAAGTTACCAGCCTTACCTTTTCAGTGTAGTTGTGAACATACAAGTGTTAAGTCATTTTTCAATATAGTTGTGAAATACAAAGGATCATGGCTGGCATTTATGTTTGGTTTGGCTCAGAAACTTAAATCACCATCCATCATAGCAGTTCTATGTGTTTTCCTGCTGCCAGTGTAGGACAGGAAAACTGGAGCCAGTTAAGCTCCCCTAGCCTCCTGCCCACTATAGACATAAATGTGCTCCAAGTCCAACTGTGTATGCACAATGAGCAGTCAGTTAAAAATAACTCAGCATATAACATCTGATAATATTTTATTTTAACTGATAAGACTAATTTTTTTAATGACTTGTCAGATAACTTGTGTTCTGTGGATTTAAATAGATCCTACGCTAAGGACAAACAAAATTCTAATATTTCAAAAGTACCAGCTGGTCTGAAACTTGGGGAGTTTTTTCAGGCTTTTTCCATTTTCAGGAAAACAGACTTGGACAGTCTCAATACAAAAAGTATTACAGTTTTCACATGAAAAACTACAAAATACTCTTCATCAAAAACAACTTGCTGTATACATTTAAGTGAATAAAATACTCAATTTGATTTGCTGTAGACATTATTTAAGATTATCATAGGAAGAGATACCTGTGAATCTCTAGTGTCTTGCATTCATCAGCAAGATGTAAAATTATCAACTAAAATCAGAATCTAAATAAAATGATGTCCTTAAAGATGGATTTGAAATCACAGCTGTGTTTCCTGAGTTTGGAATGGCTACAACTGCAAGTATTAAGTGTAAAGATGCTTCTAGCTACAGCTTCAGATGGACCATTTTACTGGTCACACAGTGATGTGCAGAAATCCTGTGCCTGCCATACTAATTGTGACAAAGGTCTGTGAAGCTGTACATCTGTGTGGGATGGCAATGATGATGTTTTTTTCTAACAAATGCTTAATTTTGTTTTTTAGAGCTCCCCTTGGAATCGATATTTCAAAAAGAGTCGAAGAAGATTCCATCAAGGTGCCAAGATTAAAAGAGATAAGATGGTTGGCAACTTAAAAAGGAACTTAGTGAAGCAAATGCAACTCTCAATTGTTCAATAAAAACTGTTTCAGTGCTGTTATGTTCACTGGCAGTACTTGGTTTACACGTGTTGAAAATCCCTTGTCAGAGAAACAAATGCTGTGTGTTACCACCAAAGTGATTCCAGTTACTATTCCACAACTCAGTGTTCTAGGTATTAAAACAACCGACAAAAAAAATTCAAAGTGCACTTTCTAATAAATACAAACTCACACCAATGAAAATACCTCAATTGTTTACACTTTGTAACTTATAATAAAGTTTATATATTTGTAATACATAATTTATCAATATAATTAATAATAAACTTTATAATTTACACTACGCATTAAAAGACATCATAACTTCCATGACTGAAAAGTTACAGAGAAAGAACCTGTGCAAGCACAGATTTTCAGGAAGATCTCAGTGTCTTTCCTAGGCCAGTGCAACTGACTTTCAGCAGTACCTGCTTTTCTGCTGCTGGTGTCAGCAGCCTGTTCTTCCTTACACAAATGTACAATTACGGGGTATAGAGCTAATGCCTATTAATGTTCTCTTTTTTTATAAGCAGTTCAGTAAAGCTAAATCACAGTGTCAGCTGTTAAGCTGCACATTCTAAGTTCTGGTGTGAATAATGTGTTATTTGACCCTGCTTTTTGCTAATCAGTATAATATACTATTATTATTCCACTATTATTCATTGCAAGGGTATTTACTGGAATAAATAGTTCAAATATTAGCACCATTTCAATAAGAGTTTTTGAATTCCTAATGCACATGTTTAAGATTGTAAAATAAACTTGCTGATCTTGGAGGTCTCCTCCAACCTTGATTCTGATGCTAAGATTACCTCCATTTGAGTACAAATAAGTAATTGGGATTTGTGGAAGAGTAATAAACAAACAGGTTGCCTGGTTGGGCTTTTTTTGCTAACTGGAGGGCAAGATGTAACAACATGGGGATGTGTGTTATTTTTACTCCAATACTTCATTTTTTGGGAGGTTAAGATTCCTTATTGAACAGAAAGCACTGGAAGAGTACATGGTATTTGCACTTCATTACACAGCATTTCTGCAGTCTCATTTTCATGTAGATAAACAAGTAGTTTATCTTTTGGTAATTTATCTGCATTATCTTCTTGGGAAAGCAATAAAAGTCCTTTAATAAACGTAAATATCCCAGTTCCTAGGCCCTATCAAGTAGGATGATTATCCATGTGCTTTGCTGATTTCAACATAGCTGACAGACTGGAATTTGTGAAATGAACAAAAACACTTCATACATAGCTATTATATTTATCTCACCTCCATTAAATGTTTGAGACTTTACACAGCAAATAATGATTCTTTTGCTTTAAATTCAACTACTTAAAGGTCTTCCAAAACAAATAAACAGGAGATGCCCCAAGTAATTATAGGAGAGACCTTCTGTAGTATTTGAGTGGAGATGTCTTGTAGCAAGGAATTAGAAATGCTATTATGACAGTTTTCTAGCCTAGCTCAACAAATCAAATAAAACAGATAACACAATTGGTTGAAAATCTGGTGCTCAGTAAGGAGTTATTGATGGCCTCCTGATGAACTGTTGGCGTAGTGCATACAAGGTCTTAAAAAGTTTGCTTCAATGTCTTGTTCTGAACATTCTTTTTGTAACTGAAAAATGAAAGCACAAAATGAAGTAGTGAAAATTGCAGGTTATAGCATTCTGAAAGCAGCTGCTAACACTCCTGAAAACCTACTTACAATATGATGACCTCTCGTTTTGGAAAAAATCAGTAGCCTAGGAGTACACTTCAAGCAAATACAAAATACCAGCTGGGAATAAGGAGGTGGATTTGTAGGGCTGGAATGGAAGCAAATCTAGTATGATCAACAATAGTGTTGCAAGAGGCACATATTTGGGTTTTATTACAGGCATAACACTTAAGAGACAAGAAACACAGGGTTGGGTTTTTTACTGTGGTATGAGGCTGACTGAAACAAGGAAGGTGATACACCAAACAACTCAGTCTATTAAAATGTGCTATAAAACCAGTGTTTACTTGTTCTTCACTGCGGGAAGGATTACTTAGCGTAATTTGCAGGAAAAGCTTAAACAACTGTTAGCAAAAGCTTTCTTGAGTGAGGAAGCAATGGAGAATGTTACCTATTGAAACACATTCCTCAACCACTGCATGTTATGCATTAAAGTAACTGTTAAAATGCTCTGCAAGTATTTCATTCTTCACTCAAAACAAGACTGTAAACTGGATGATCCCTGGAGATCCCTTGTGTAACATATGCAATACATACACTGTGTCCTCATTGCTTGTTAACCTTCTGGATGTTGCTAAACCCCAGAGACTGTAATCACTTTATATCACTCCAGGAGTCATTTTGGCTTGAAAGTATATTCAGTAACAGTCAAACAACTGGTAGGATTTTAAACAAAAAAAATTTAATCTTGAAATAGTCTTCATGAAATACATTTCAGTCTTAGAATAATACAACTGAAAACATTTACTTGGAATTTAACATACAAGACATGCAAGACAAGCAGTTTTATTTCATGAAGTAATACAATTCCTGCCTCCTGTAGGGCATTTTAGTTTTATAGCTATCAAATATGGGAATTAAAAAAACCTGTAACCATAGTCTCTGCTTGTTGACAATTTAAACCCTGCTTTTATAGTACTTTTGCAACATTATTTTCACATGCTTGAATTCAAAGCATTGAAGAAACTGAGTTCTTACACTGAGGAACAGTGATATTTTTAAGTTGTTTCTACAGAACTGTTGCATTATTTCCAGAAAAATTAACTGCAGTATATAAAATAAATGGTTGCACAGCATTTAGCCAGCAACCCTGTATGTTGCCAGCAACTGTAATATATATACAGAATTTAAACTAGTATTTGATAGTGTCATAAAAAGCTGTTAAAAATAAATTTAAAAATTAAACTGGAATCAAAGTACATTTTATTAAAGCTATAAAAATCTTTATACCTCTCAAACCTTCATAAGATACTCAGCAATTTCCATTCAGTAAATGACAATCTGAACTCAGAACTAAAGACTATTAATATAGTCTCTATCTTACTGTTCACATTCCTTACCTCTTACCATCAAGTTCTGTCACTGGAATGGGGTAATGTTGTCTACTTGGCATATCCATGACAAACAACTGAGCCTTACAGCCTGATACCTATGAGAAAACAGTCACTGGATCAGCTCTAAGGATTGCTTAGGTCAATACCTAACTGCTAACATCCATGAAATGATGCAGAGAATTGCACCAATGATCAGCAAACACAGAAACTCAAGTACAGTTATTTCCTTTCATGCTTAGAAGTGTTTTGCCTCTTTTATCTTGACCATTTGTGCACATCATGGCAAGAAAAGCATCTCTCAGGGAATAGGTTATACCTTCCCTGGCCAATCTGTTTGGAGCATTCCTCAGACTACCCTAATGCCACCTAAGAGCTATGCTGCTTTTTGGGGATGTTGTCCTTGTGATTGAGGTGTCATGTGCCAGTTTGGACAGATCAGGGTTAGCAGCAAATACTCTTCTATTACAGTCATTTGAGAAATAATCACTGCAGTCTGTATGAGCCTGATCTGTAAGAACTCGGATAACCATGCACCAACAGAGCCTGCACAAACCTAGGAACTGTGAAGCATTTTCCCTTCTCTCTGATGCTAATTTGAACAAAGTACAATCTTCTCTCCTAGTTTATCAGCTGTAATAACACACACATACATTACAACACAGACAGCAAACTATAATCATGATCCCTAAGGAAACAGCCTTTACTGATGGACCTAAGGACACTCATTCTGTGCATATTCAAAGCGTTGACATTTGAAACTTGGTCAAAAAAAAAACCAAATAGTGGCAATTCTCCTTCAGTTTTAGCTTCACAGGATATTAAAAAAGGGGGATTTTCTTTTCTTCTAGAAGTAGCAATACAATAGTAGCTTAAAGCACTAGATTTATTTTAGCATTTAATATATAAAAGATATCATTTAAATATATAAAAATCTACAAGATATATCTAGAAGATATAAAAATATCAATGTCAAATTTGAATTAAATTAGTAAGTTTATGGTTTTCTTACTAGAATATGGCTGAAGATGTTTACTTACATTTGGGATTTTCATCTTCTTTTTAAATCCCAGTAAAAATGGAATGAAGTACAGAATCTGATTTCAATACATAAAGCATTTTAATGTATCTTATTTTTTTTCTCCCCTTCCCTACTGGAACCAAACATTTGGTCAAGAAACTCTACAAGTAATGGTAAGTGGACTATAAATAAAAACAATAAATTTCTTATGAATCACTGGACAACTGGAAAAGTTTGTTATCACCAAATTCTATGGTTTCTTTTTACAACTACTACCTGGAATTATTTGGAAGCATTCCAAAATTATTTCTCACACTTCTCTAAGTATCAGAGGCCTCCTAATTTGGGATAGGCAGTATTTGTCTGGGTAAAAATGCACAACTTCCTTTCTTAGTATCCTAAGTGACACATAACTTCTGGGAACACTCCAACACCATTGCACAGGCAACAAATAATGAACAGTAGTTGCATTTCATCAGCCTGGTGATCCTCTTGGTCCAGTCTCCACCTGCTTTACAGCATGATGCAAGAACTCTTGCAAACATCTCAGGGCAAGGTACTATGGACTCAGTCTTCATCAGAGCACCAGTGAGAAATCTGTCGCTGTTTTGCAGCAGTGTAAAACTTAAGGGGATTTCAGTAAATCTTTCTTTACAGACTTGAGAAATTATATTGAAAATACAGCTATAGTTTGCAGGAATAGATATATTTTGCTTTGTATGAAAATTGATTTTTTTCCCTGCTATCATTTTTCCATTTTTTATTTAATTGGCCAAACATAAAAACCAAAACTGTAAGGCAACATGTTGAGTACTAAGCTTCAACCTTACCCAAACCACTGGAGAGCATATATCCAGCTTTTTTTACATTAACTTTGTGATCTTTCCATACAAAATTAGAAAGACAAGCTAACTCAGGCTTCCCTTCAGAGGAAGCTCAGACCCAATTTCTGTTTCAACCCCACGATTGCATCCACACATTCACCTACAGTGTCTCTTGTTTTTTTAAGGGAGATTTTTTTATTTGTTTAAAAGATATCATACTTGAAGTACACAATGGGAACTTTGCAACTTTAAGCAGCAGAGCTAAAGCTAAGAAAGACGTTAAGCTCGGGAGTCAACAAGGGACAAAGAACACCCTAGAGGGAGCTCCTCAGTTTCTCTGGAAGCACAGGGAGCCCCAGGCTGGGGATTGCTGACTAACCCATCCCTGCAGAACTGGCCAAGGACTGGGAGGCTGTACAGGACAGCCCCAAAACACTCAGGCTGTGTGTGGGATGTCTGTTTTCCTCAAGTAATGAACGGGCAAGCAGGATGCTTCAAGGGCAGATCTCCAAGAGGCCAACGAGACCCTCAGCTCTTTTTGGCTCTGGCAACCCAGACCAGCTCCTCCCCATGCCCTCCCTTTCAGAACCTTACCTCCAACCCCCTCCTAAAGCACAGCTGCAAGACTAGACTTGTTCTACCACAGAGTCATGTACTGAATTCAGTATATGTGCCAGGTTGGACAGATTCAATGTGCTTTTGGCAACGCTGACATCAGCTAGGAAGGGTGGAAAAGCCAACTCTGGCCATCCTCTCTTCCCCAGAGCCCAGCATTCTCTTCTCTCAAGGATGCACTCATAGTGAGCCTCTAGTACAAATACTGTACTTTGTGTATTGTTTATATGCATTACTTTGATGACAAATAATAATAGTATCCAAGTGTGTAAAAAACCAGACCAAACATTCTAAGAAAGCTCAAAAGATTTACTGAGTAAGTGCAACATCTCAAGATGCTGCTTTATAACTCATCTACTGAAAAGGACTTCAGCCTGATGCATGTGTCAGATGCTTTTTCACTGTTGCTCTCTAGTTTTGCAATCCGAGATCCAAACTGCATAGCCCTTTTGGGCACAATAGTGGAGGCTGCAAGGCCCAACTCCTTGGCCGCAAGGCGCAGAATCAACTTCTCACCGATTCCTCGAGGTAAGGTCAGCTCAGCTTTGTCTGAGATGGGCAGAGAACTGAGGAATGAAACTACATCTTCATCAAGAAAAGGAAACCTGCAAAAAAGATGGGGAAAAAACCCTTTAAAAACTTCATACAAATATTCTTGGTTTTCCTCTTTATGACTTCAGAACCTATGTCAATTCCTAACTACAGATGTACCTTAAACCTTAGTGTCACAGTATAGAGGTAATTCTCCAAAGGAGTTACACTGTCTTGTAGAAAAAAAACATAATCTATCATGTTTACACTCAGAAGCTCAGAAGTTTTCCAAAGTCAAGCAAAAAGAGTAAGAATAAGCATCCGAAACACTGAGTTTATATAAAACAGAAATCATGAAGAAACAGAAACTCCAATGCAAGAGCACATTTTAAAGTACCATTTCTCAAGGCAACTTTAAGCATTTAATGTGTGAAGCTACATTTGTCACTTTGAAACAAAAACATTTACACAACAAATTTTTACACCATTCTGAATTCTAGGCATCCATACCCAACTGCCTTGCCCATATACCACTGCCACTGTTCTTGTGCTAAACTGAAAATGTGCAAGTAAGGACAGATTTGCAAAAACACTGGTACACAGATCCCATTCTCATGCACCTGAGTGGCCTTTGCTACTGGACAACACCTAAGGAATTTTTTCCAAGTTCGTGGTAGGATGGAGAAGCAAACACAAATAAAACGACTCCAACTATTCAGGCTTAGCAGCCAGGAAATGCAGTGGATATTGACCCTGCCTTTGCTGCATGGATAGGAATACATGGATTCTATGTTATGTTGTCACTGTCCAAAGTCACTCCCCAAATAACCACACCAGAACACTTCACAGCTGTGCAGAAGACTGTTCTCCTTAAAATGATAAAACCAGCTTGATTTTGCCTATTTCAACATCTGTTGCTGCTTCTTAAAACTTCTGGATGGAAATCAAGCTGCTAAATTCCCTGAAGTAAATCTTCCACAGTACCACAGACCATTTTTAAAAAAATCAAACCCCAAAACCCCACAACACAGTACAAATGAACAAAATTGCAATAGAACTAGAGACAAATGAAACTTTAGTGTGTTTTATTAAGCTTTTTGTTGGAGAGTTAGAAACTGCATCTAACCAGCAAAACCAGTTTTGCTTCATGTTAAAACAGCACTACCTGGCTTCTTTGCCATGATCACCAATAATTCTGTCATCTCTGCCAAGATTTCTGGAAGAAATTCGATCTAACTCCATTTCAAGCTCTTTATTCAGACCCTCTAAGCCATATCTTTTGAAGCACACACGATGTCGGGAATACCCAGCAAGTTGTTCGTCTGCCCCAATTCCTGTGAGCACAACCTAAGGAAACAGAAGACAAGAAAACTTAGTATCTAGGCAAGCTGACGTGTAATAGATCTTAAATGTTTAACTGCATCTTAAGGAGAGCAACTTTTAACACACATCTTCTAAAGACATTATCTGTGATGATGGACTGTCTTACACAATGCCTGAAACAGTTCCCACCGGAAACCCGAAACAGGTTCACAATCACACCTGACAGTACACACAAACATTTCTACTGATGCAAGGCAAAAAACATCAAAATAATGTTGTGCCATCACAAATACATTAATATCTTTGAAGAATGTCTTTGTTAGTTCCTAATATAATAAACAGCATTTGTTAAACACCAACCAGCCTTCATAGAAAAAAAATTGTTGCTAAAGATTATGTGTGCCATATCTTCTAAATAGTTAGCTGAATGTACATCCATAGTGCTGCTAATTTACCAGCCCCTGGGTTAGTAACAACTGCATCAAACAAAGTAAAAATGGTTCATAATCTTCTGTCTACTCAGTAAGGGCATAAAATGTTATCAAGAGAAGAAACACATCCCATGTGGCCCATTACTGTGCCTTCAGCCAGCAGTTCACTATAAAAGTGGAAGTCTCTTAACAATCAATCAAGTGTGGTTTACTAATCTGATACCAGTTAGTGGTCAACTAATTTTTAAACTGTGCACAGCAGTAATTAGCTGATGGGGAAAATAACACTTTTGCTTTATGCTCTATTAACTCATAACCCACTTCAACATACTCTGGACCTAAGATGAATTTGTATGTTTTGCAAATCTGAGATGCACATCCTTAAGTAGATGGGTCAACTGAATCCACTGTGTTCTATTGCAGTAGTTTTTAAGCAAATTGTTGTGTTTCTTTGGGTTTCTGTTGTTGGTGCTTTATTTGTGGGTTTAGGATCTAGTAATTAGTAGACAAGTAGCAGGAGCCTCAAAATGCAAAGGCAGCAGTTGGCTTGTACATTCCTGACACGAAACAGTTCATTCTTCCCTGCACAAACCATCAGAAGTAGGGAACTGTAAAATCAGAATCAAGTCCCCAAGAAAATTAGCTAGTTACTAAAAAGATTCACTTAATATTACATAGATGAAAATAAGTTAAAAAAAGGAAAGAGCTACTTTTTGTAATTCTGCCATTCCAACAGAGTAACTACCAAAAAATGTGTGTATTATTTGTGATTTTGTCACACCAACAGCATAAATAATGCCTAAATAAGAAGACAGCAATTTTACAAGGGGTGGGATGCTGGCACAGAACAATATTACTTCATAATCCATTAACATTTATCTCTAAATTCATCAGCACATTCGGTTTGGACTGAACAGCTGTTAACCCATTACTAGAGTTGAAACACTGCAAATGATACATGATGAGTTTGTTTTTTCCTAGTCATATTGCTGCTTATCCAAGTTCTCTGAAAAGCCATACCCATCACAGGCCAAAAGCACTGAAGGCAGTTTTTAACTGTAGAAGTACACAAAGATTACAGTTACAGAACTATTCTACATCCTGTCACTGAATTTCAGCAACCTGATGAATAGTAAAACTCTCAGTTGGTTTCTTGATCAAAAGAACTGTTTTTACATTCACAGGTCAAACATAAGGCAGAAAACAACAAAAGAAATCTGTACCTTTGCAGGACTTTTATATGGTTTCAGTTCTCCCTGGTTACTAAGAAAACCTGCCCCTCTAGAAGCAAACCAAATTGCACAGCCTATGCTGTCATCCAAGACTGTATCCAGTGGATAAATTAAGTGATTAATGCGTTGGTGTCTCATGTTTTTCAGTTCCTCTAGTGTAACATTAATTTCCACAAAGTTCCAGATTCTTGAAGGGCTAATGGCTTCTAATTCCTTCAGTCCTGCCCTACCAGTGATTCTGTCAGGAACATCAAAGCAGGATAAGTGAGCACTAGTTTTAGCATCAAGATCTTGACAGCTTTCTTGAGGACAAAGCAAATCAGGTTGTACTTCATGGCTGGTATGTCTTCTAGTGGTACCCTTTTGCTTAGCTTGTTCTTTCATCATGAAAGCTACATTGAGAAGATCAATTGGCTCCTCCAAAGGCACATGTTTATCAGCAAGGGCTGCAATAACCATAGAATCAATGCCACCAGAAAAGAGCACTGCAACATGTGCTTTCTTATTAGACATGCTAGGAGCTTCCCTTGTTTTCTGACCTTGAGCTCTGATGAGAGATAGAACTCGTCTCTTGACTGCTTCACTTAAAACATCGATAAACTGATGGACTAATTTTTTCTTTTGTTCCTCTGCAAGAAATCTTTGCAGGGTTTCTACAGAAACCACATGCATATTGTTGCTAATATTAGTGCCTTGGCATTCACCCGAAGCTTCAGAAATGGTCTTATTTAAGGGGATAACTGGTGCCCTGAGACACAGCTTGGATTCATTCATCACAAGACGTACATGTTTCGCTAAGTCTTTTGACACTTGGTCACACACATCAGTGAGTATTTCATCTACTTCTTGCTTTGTGCAGCTGTACTTCCACGGAAACCATGTTAAAGACAAAGATTTAGCCGTTACACAAGCTTTGAGATCAATTTTGAAAATTCCAGAGGCTGGGACTTCTTGCCACTGGTTGCCTGAGGCAGAGTAACCAGCTACAGACGTGAGGCAGAAAGTGCTGTTGACCTCATTACTGAACTGCCAAAGCAAACTACGACGACCAAAATAATCTCTACCAAACCATAAACTGTGTTTAGATGCTTGGTAATAAATAAAAGCCCAGGGACCCTGAAGGGATGAAAAGAGTGACAAAATGTCCACTTCACTGCTGCATAACGCAAGGTGCTGAAGCATAACTTGAGTGTCATTCTCTAGCTCTCCTACGTGCACTCCATTGAAAATTTCTCCATTCCAAAGAAATATATTGTTGTTGGCATCTTCTAGAGGCTGAGGAGTCACCGGTCCCCTCATGTGAAGTACATGGCCAGAAAACAGACACTCATAAGAGAGATCAGACACAGATTTTATCAACTGTTGGCTACTGTCTGGTCCTCTTCTTTTAAGACAGCAGAGGATGTCTTGGCTAAGGAAATCATGAACAGCACATTGGCTACCGAAGGTAACAACACAACAAATGCCACACATTGCCACTTGGAATGCAGATCACCTATTTCTTGATTTTAGCCTTTTCTGCATTTTCCATGTCCTGATGTGCCTTCTTTAGTTCATCTAATGTATCTGTGTAAAAGAAAAATCACAGGAACAGTAAGGTTTTTAGTAGGTAAGTTTAAGAGTATATCTAAGAAATTAGCAACTCCAGACACTAGATCAATTGAAGAGATAAATATGAAACACTAATTAACCAAAGTGCTATGTTTGTGTTCTTTATTCCTCTTTAATTATACAAAGACTCTGACTTTTTTTCTCTCAAAGAAAGCCACACTATGACAAGGGAATGTGCAACTCTTGCCTATATAATTAGTATGATTTATACATTTGTAGCAAGAAAAGGAAACTGTCAATTAAAATGTCAACACCATTAACCCAAAGAAAAGAAAATGAAAGCAGCAATTGCTCAATGCAAAAAATAAATTTATGCCTCTAAATGTATACATTTGTAACATTTGTTCAATCATCACCACTACTATCCAGTCTCCCACCTTCATAATCCCAGATTCATCCTTTCAACTACCTTAAGACTTCTAGCTTAACTCCAGTTTAACTTGCTATTTTCTTTCTACTCATGCCGTGCCTTTTTTAGACTTCATACAGCTTCCCAAAGGACACTGAGAATAATAACTCCACTGTTCAGCAGATTTTGTGCCTTTTTCTATATCCTCAGCACTTCTCTTTTATCACATCCATGTATCAACTGTAAACACTTTCACATTTATCTGATCCAGAAAAACAAGCAGGTGTCTAAAGCCTACCTTGCATTCGATACACAGCTGGCAGCTTTTCAGTTTGATATATATACCTTTGAAATCAGCTACAAATACAGCTTTTAAATATTGAACCATTTGACTTACTTTTGCACTGAGACAGCGTTTCCGTTCGGTCTGCAAGGAAGAATATGTTGCTGTTGGGTTGCTGTTTGTAAACTCTCTGTAAAACAAAAACAACACGTCAAAGTCGAAGCCATAAACTCTGGAACCACACTGCAGTAGGAACTGGTGTAGGTCCACTGAGATATACTTCTGGTATAGAAGTGAAGGAGTACATTCTGCCCTGACAACACCAACATTCTAATACTGCACCAGCAAAAACATTTAACCAGCAACCCATGACTATTCTGCATTTCCCTTCTCCTCACACATGAGGGATCACATGCCATTTTAAAGCACATGCATACAAAAAGAAAGAATGCCTCGTGAAGTCTTCTGATCAACTCAAACATCTTAATGAAACATAAAATGGTAAAAGACCCCAGTGTTAGGCTGCATAATAATCAAACCACCTGGAGGACAAATTACTCTGAGAACAGCAGACCACATGTGTATTAAAACAAACTAGACAGCATGCTCTGATTTTGCCTTTATTCTTATTTCTCTGCTAAAATGAAACAGTCAACAGCAAATTTGTAAATACTTACCCTGTTCTTCTTCAAATTAGAAAGCTCATCAACTACAACCTTCTGCTCTTTAATCTGAAAGGCAAAAGATGCACTTGAATTAATTATTAAAAATAAACCATTATTATAATCCCAGTGGTGAGCAAGCTTAGCAATATTTTAAGACAGCGCCATACACATATAGCTGCTGTTCTGCAAACAAACCACTGAAGACAAAGTAGAAGTAAATATAAAAATTAATTACTTAAAATAACTGCTCTAGAAACAGGTCATCTTGCATGCATTGGTATTTCTCTTCCCCACAAAAGCAACCACTACTGGGAAGCCAGAGTACCTCTAGCTATTTCTAATCAGAGAGCACGTTCTTCCTCCAAAAATTAAACAGGCACACAATAAAACATCAAATAACTTTAAAAACAAAATTTAGCATAATATCAACAATAAGGCACACAATAAAACATCAAATAACTTAAAAAACCAAAATTTCATGTAATATCAAGAATGCACTTTATAATCACAGGATGCAACAGATTCAAAATGAAATAAATGAAAGCCAAATCCTCTAAAACTGTAGTAAGAGCGATGGAGTTTGCACTAACTTCCTAGTGGGATTTAACTCTGTTCTGCATTGGCAGACGTGGCAGGTTGTCCCACTCTCTTTTACAATGACACCTGTGAATGCTGAAGAGCAATAAGAAGAGCTGTCACAAAAGCCAGAAACTACCACTCTCTTTTACAATGACACCTGTGATGCTGAAGAGTAATAAGAAGGGCTGTCACAAAAGCCAGAAACTACAACAAAACCTGGTCAGAGGTCACTTCATCCTTTTTGCCAGAAGCAAGCAATATGTTTTTGTGTGGTTTTCCTCTGTGTCTGTTGGAATTGGTGCAATAGTAGAAAGATGCTGCACAGTGAGGTGAACCAAACTGAATGGGGCACACAGAAAAAACTTTTCCAGCATCTACTACCTACAACACCAACAGGCAAACCAGCAGTGCCACCCCTTGCTATGGATTAAACCAGACACTTAGGCACAGCACAAATTACAACCTGCAGCTTTGCAGCTTCCCAGGCAAACCAGAACACCACTCGATCTGTACCATACAGCCATACAGAAGCCATTCCTGAGGGAAAGCACTTCCACCTTTAGACACTGGAGTGGATTGCCCCTGGAGATGCTTAAGGAGATGGATGTGGCACTTAGTCCCGTGGTCTAGTTGACATGTTTGCTCACAGGTTGGACTCCACGATCCTAAGAGGTCTGACTGATTCTGTGATCCCATGGGGCTCGACTGACTGCACACTGCACAAAGCCACCGTCACCATGGAAAAGGGAGCAGATCCACGAGGAGTGACACCCTCCGCGGCCAAAATCCCTCGCGACTTGTACCGCAGATAAGGCTAAAGCAGGCACTACAGAGAAATAAACCTCACTGCGCCTCATCTGGCAGACATTTCGAGCTCAGCTTGGACCAGTGAGGCCCGAAGTAACA